TTACCAGTTACATTTAGATAGTATAAAAGTAATTAGTGGTTTTTCATCAACTCAAAGTACCCAAGAGAAATTAGGGATTGGGATTAACTCCTCTTACCTTAGAATGAAGACCCATCACGAAATCAATGGTAGAAATACCTCTCACACGGGTTCTTGCCCTAAATACATGGAATAATCCATGAGAAATCAAGAGGGATGAAGAACGAGTAAAAACTGAAAACCCTAACTCAACATACTCACCTCTAAATGTTCCAAACATGATTCCAATCTTCAATCTAGGGCACAAACAGCTTAAGGGGCAGTTTAATCGGTGAAAAAGGCTAGAGATTGAGAGATCTGACAAGAGAGAGAAGAGCATTTTTCCTAACCCTAAACTCCTTAAATACACAAGGTGTCGTGACATTCATGTTACAGCGAGATATTCTTACTGCAGGGAGGTCCCTTCATTGCAGCGACATCTTTTCTTGCTACAACAAAAATCTCAGAGGAAACTGGACTCTGGTTTCTGCAGAATCTCGCTACATCGAGGCCTTCTTACTACAGCGAGATTGTACCTAGAAATGCATCCCTCACTATTGCTCTCTTGCTACAGCGAGGGACCTCTTGCTACACCAAGAAAGTCATAGTCTCACTCCCTTGTCCCAGGGCCTTCTTGCTCCAACGAGAACCTTCTCGCTATAGCAAAAATATCCTAGAAATACACTTTTAACCTATTTTCAACCAGTTTAACACATCCAATCACAATGCATAATCAGCATCCATATTCATCTCACGTATACGCATATATCCACCTCATTCATTCACACCATCATCCAATACACATCATCATCACATACTCAAACATATAAACACATGGAAATTCTCATATATATATATATAGTAATTAAAATATTATTACAAAATTCGAGGCGTTACATTGTTAATGAATGGTATTCAACCTCTGCAGATGAGCAAAAAACAGTGTGATGTTTCTTAGTTTTCCAAGATATAGGTAATTACTCCAAAAATAATAAACCACACTGTGAGAGAACGAGACTACCTTTCAAATACGAAAAACTCACAATGCTACCTCCCAATGTTCTTGTCTTGATTGTTGCATGAATTATGAAAATTTGTGCACACAGTATAAGCGTTCTGGTCAAGTAAAGTAAAGATAGATAAGTCACCCACTAATCTTCTATATTGTTCAACATTGTTAATCAACGAGCCATTAGCAAGAGCCAAATAATGATTATGTTCTAAATGTGTGATCGCTGGCTTAGCTCCAAGAAGGCCAACTTCAACAATTAAGTCAAAAGCATATTTTTGTTGACAAAGAAAAATGCTAGTTAAGAAATGGGTTACTTTAACTCTAAGAAAATACTTGAGATCTCCTAGGTTCTTCATATGAAAACAAGTATACAAGTAAGTCTTAAATTTATCAATTGCTTCATGATTGTTTCTACAAATGATAAGGTCATCCACATATATCAAAATAACAAGATACAAGTCTGACTTTTATAGCACAAAGAGAGAGTAATTATAAAGTGATTGTGCAAATCCATAGCTCTTGAGAGCTGTAGATAACTTTGCAAACCATCACCTAGGAGCTTGTTTCAATCCATGGAGAGATTTATTAAGCTTGCATACCATTTCGAGCTATTGAACAGAAAAATCAAGTGGTAGTTGTATGAATACTTCATTCTAAAGTTCCCTATGCAAGAATGTATTATGCACATCATCTACTGCAACTCCCAATTTCTTGTTGTTGCCACTGCCAAAACTAATTGCACTATCACCATTTTTGCAATAAGGGCAAAAGTCTTTGTATAATCCACCCCCTCTACTTAATGATTACCAAGAATGACTAATCGAGTTTTAAACTTTTCCATTGTACCATCGGATCTATGTTTTATCTTGTACACGCATTTATAACTGAGTGCCTTTTTTTTTTTCAGGGGCAAGGATGTTACAGTCATGTACTGTTGTTTTCAAGAGCTTCATCTTGCTATTTTTAATAGCCTCATTATAAGTAACATGTTTATGATCTTGTGTGATTGTTGCAAGGAAAACACGACATGCCAAAGAAAATCTATCACAGTTTACATAATGAGCTAAAGGATAGGTCATACATAAGGAATATGTTGGAGAAGGTGAGCTTAGGTATGAGCTCAATCGTTGAATTGTGTTGGTTACATAGTCACACAACCGAGTAGAGGGTTGTTTTATCCTATGTCCTCTTCCAAGTAGACCAGTCTCAATTATTGTAGAATTAATTTCTTCAATTGTAAATGCTGATTCAAGTGGAGGTTCTGCCACCTCTTCATTAACTTCACCCCTTGACTCCCATATCTAGTGTTGCACTATCTTAAGAAAGCATTCTAGGTTCACAATTTTTGACACAATCCAAAACCTTGATGTCATCTTCAAAATTTTCAACAATTATTTTGTTGTGTAAGAACCCTTTTCATTTGGGACCATCACATGCTAAAGGAAATTCTAACTCAACATCTTGAGAGTTACTCTATTCATTATAAGTCAAACAATTTCCAATTCTTCTTACTATATGGATAGCCAACAAAAACACATTTTCTGCTCCTACTAGCAAATTTATCTCTTTTTCGTTCTTAGTTATGAGCATCACATAATGATCCAAACACTCTTAAGCACTCAAGTGAGGGTGCTTGTTTGTGCAATATTTCATATGGAGTCTTCCCATTCAGTACTTTAGAAGGTGTGCAATTTATTAAATACTTGTAGTCAAAATACACTCATCCCAAAATTCAATAGAGATATTGTCTTGAAATCGTAAAGCTCAGGCCACATTCAAAATATGATGGTTTTTTCTTTCGACCCTTTCATTTTGTTGTGGTGTTCCTACACAAAATGTTTGAAACACAATCCCATGATCAAGAAAATAATTTTTCATGCAGCTGAATTCTGTCTCATTATCACTTCTAAAAATTCTCACTCGTTTATTATATGGTCTTTCAACCATAGCAAAGAATTAAGCAATATTCGAGTCGCTTCCTTTTTCTCAATAAGTAAATAAATCCAAATAGCATGTGAAAAATCATCCACCATTGTCAAGAAATAAAATGCATCACAAGAAGGAGTTCTATATGCTCCCCACAAATCACAATTGACTAGTTCAAACTAGCTACTAGGTTTATGAACACTAGATGAGAATCTTTCCTAAGTTTGACATACATCAAAAACTTTATTTGACAAATTAAAATTTTTATTTTTACTAATAGTATCAACTTTGTGATTTTTCAAGAAGGATGCGTCAAGCGCATATGCTAAAGCTTTGGTTGGTTTACTTCATTAACTTTAAACATTGTTACTTCTTCAATTCCATAGAAGAAATAGAGCCTATTCCTTCATTCACACGCTCCAATTAACATCCTCGAAGTGTGGTCCTGCACAACACACATGTTCTTAGCAAATTGCCAAACACAATCCAATTCATCTATTAGCTGTGACACTAATAGTAGATTGCAATTTAATTTGGGAACATAGAAAACATTTGTAAGCTTTAAACCCCCCCTTTTAACATTATGGTTCCTTCTTTGGCTGCAACAACATATTATTCATCAAGGAGCCTTACGAGGCAATCTTGAATATTATGCAAGTCACTGTATCTTTGTCATATGGTTAAATGCTCCATAATAAATTATCTATATAATAATGTTATGCTTACCTGTCATCTTTTCATTTGCCTGAGTGTTTAATGTTTCTACCAATTCTTGCGCTATTGTTTAGCGGTCAATCTAATAACTCAAATTTTTTTACTTCTGAAAAGGATGAGTTTGGGCTCTGTATTCTTCAGTTTGTGTAGCATTATGGCAAATTATTTTCCCTCTTAAGATTATATGGTGAGGGAGTTTTCTTCCCTTGATTCTACTTTTCTTTTGTTTTTTTTCATTAGACCCTAAGTTTTTGTGCTCTAATGGTATGATAAATTTCAAGAGAGTTAAAACTCTTTATCTCTCTGTTTGCAATTGATAATGCAGTACCAATATATATAACAAGATTAACACAAATTGCTTTCAAAATAGTTATTATCAAATTAATAAAAATAACTCAAATAAACACTTAATAAAAATATACATATTTAGTTACCTAATTAAATTTTGAAAGAATCTATTCATATTATAAAATATGATTGTACAAATTATAATAGTATTCTTATTCTTATCAGTGTGTTATTGATCGAGGATATGGAGTTGTAGAACATCGAGTGTTTTAAATACTATTTTTCTGTTGAACCTCATGGGTGGTTTTATTGCTTGCATTGCTTTTGACAGGGATATGATATGCCCGCCGCAAACTTAAACAGGTAGAAGCGAAACTCCCTGCGAGCCATGTGAAAGATTCTAGGGAGGAAATTGCAGAAGATGTGAAAACTGAATGGAGCACATTCCATTAGCAACTATTCCATTTAAGAAGTGTGAACACAATTCTTACAAATTTAAAACTGCAATCTTAAACATGTTTCCCTAAGCACTCACCCACAACTTCTAGATCTAAACCCCATTTTCAGGGATAATTGATGCTCTTTGAAAACTAGCATCAAACTTGTACACTGCAAAAAAAGAAGACTAAACCCATATTTCATGAACGGATATGTTTTTGCAATGATCATGCTTACGATAATTTGGGTTCCAGGAAGAGGAAGTGCTGCGGAGTCACAGGGAAAGGGGACAAGGTTTCAATAATTTTACGCAGAAATTTAAAATACGTTAAAAATTTCCGTTTATAAATATTAATTTTAAATAATAAAATATTAAAATATTAAATAACGCTGATAGTAAAAAGTTAATGCTTTTATATAGATTAAAAATATAATTAAACTTTATTAAAAATTAAATTTTAATACTTTTTTAATAATTAATTTTAAAAGCAATAACTCTTATAACGATAAGAAAACAATTTAAGTCAAATTTATTTTATATGAATATTTTAACTATTATAAGTCAAAATATTTTATTTAGATAAAAAAGATTGAAAATTTGAATAAGGAATTGTAAACTTTTAAGAATTTTAGGTTTTTCCAAATATCTCCTCGCTCTGAACCCTAGCAGCTCTCTCGTGCTCCGGGCGTGCCTCCCTCGGGCTCGCTCTCTTGCGGTTACTCTTTCTGGTTCTGAGACCAGGTAAATCTATTGCATCTCTGCATCTCTCATTCTTTCTCAGCTTCTCTCAGTGATGGTGTGTGACGGCGTTGTGTTTTGGTGATTTTCGATGAGTTAGGCACGCCATATACACCAGTCATCATGTCCCAATGTTGTGAAGTTCTTTTACATCAGTGGTGGCGACAACTCATAAGATTTTAAGTTTTATGGTTCTGTTATGGTGTATATTCAAGCTATTCGAATGATATTGTTCCTAGTGTTGTTGTTCTGGTTTAATGCAGAATAAATGGGTTCTGTTTGTTGTGTTGCTTGATTTGAAGTTTATATGAATAATTAAATGTTACATAATGTTGAAGCTTTGTAGCTTTTAAAGAGTAGTCTTTGCCTGCTCATTGGATGACTTTGCTCAGTGTTTCTTTTCTAATTTTGGCATATATTTGGTTTGACTAGTCACTGCTTGAACAAAGTTTTGAACTTGATAGTTCAATTTATGGTGCTGTTGAATTGGGTAACTTAGTTTGTTTGGTAAAGCTTAGATATCCATTAACTAGCAGATAATTAAACTGATTATTTGGTTGTGTGTTTTGATGACAGTGAAAAACAATGCGGAAGTTAAAGTTTCATGAGAAGAAGCTTTTGAAGAAGGTAAATTTCTTGGAATGGAAGAGAGAAGGGGGTCACAGAGAAAACCTGGTTATGCAACGCTACCATGTTACTGGACGGGATGATTACAAAAAGTATTATTTACAACTCATGATTTTTATGTTGTTCTGATGTTATGTTTTTTCCTTTATTTTAGATAGGCTTTTTGCTGACCCTTTTTTGGCCACTGGGATGGTGGAAATATGAATAGGTATTCAAGTTTATGCAATATGGTTCAGAAGTTGGTAAACATATTGAAACAGATGGACCCAAAGGATCCTTTTCGGATTGATATGACAGATAAGCTGTTGGAAAAGCTGTAGGTTCACTATGATTCACTCTGATTTATGTAAACTTTTAAACATATGGTTGAGCCTGTTTAGTTTTATTGGAGTTTAGAGTTCAAACTTGTGACTTTACTGATTTAGGGACCACATTTTTTTTGGTTTCTTCTTGGTTAATGCCTGAAACAGAGGAGGAAAATAAATGTAGTGAGATATCATGATATTTACTTACACATACATGTTTCATTTTTTTTTTATGACAGTTACAACATGGGTGTGATTCCAACAAGGCAAAGCATCACTCTATGCGAACGCTTGACTGTGTCATCCTTCTGCAGGTAAAAGAAACTTGTTTCTGTGTTTATTGCATTGAATGAAAATTTAGTTAACTTTATTTGTTTGCACATTAGAATGTCAAAATGAAAATATATCAAGAGTAAGAGGAAATAAATGAGATTTTAATTTTTAAGACAATTCTAGTCAAGAGCTTGGAGCAAATAACGTCATTTATATCTATAACTGTTACAACCTTCAGCCCTGAACAGAGAGAAGGTTGAGGAACAAGAGGAAAAAGAACTGTACATTGTTAAATGCTGTTTCATGGTCACTCTCCCTTCTATTATAAAATTCCGTACCTTTAAATGTAGTTTAAATAATTTTATTAAAATATACATGAAAAGATTAATTAAAATTTTATGAGCTAAAATAAGGTAAACAAAACTAATAAGGGGCATAATAAAATTTTACAAAAACCACAAAATTTTAATAGACAATAAATTTTTCAATTGTAATAAATTCATGCATCTAAAATAATTCGACAAAACAAAAAAAATACAATAAAAATTACTATAGGTGTAGCTGTTATGAAATGAACCTTGACAAGGAACCTCAAGGAAGAGCCTTGGCTGGAGTCTCTGTCCCCATGATGGACTCCATTGGCTGTACACTGAAGTGCAATGATTAAAGCATAAACACAACACAACTTGACCCATTTGACGACCTCAAGAGCCTTGCCTCTTTTTAACTCACTACAAATCCAGAGTCTACCACAGTTAGAAGTTCAATTTAAAGTCTTTTGTGGCCAATTTCACACACATACACACTACAAGGTTTAGAGATGCACAGCAAGATAAAATATGTCTGAGATAGGAGGTTGGGGAACACAAAGTTGTAGCTGGCTATGAGTCTACCTACTGTAAGAAATCTCACAGGCTGTTCCAATTGGAAGGATTTTTTATTTTCAATTGGTAACTAGTATTTTTCTGATCGTTGTTCTGTTCTATTAACTCATCTTTATCTCCTAAAGTATGAGTGTATAACTATGGTGTTGTAGTCCCATTTTTTTTTTTTGCACATTTTCTGTTAGTCCTGATTTATCCTCATAAACTGTTCAATACAACTTGTTTTGCGTTTTGAATCCAACTGGATTTGACTCATTACCTCAACTTCAAGGCCTTGGACTTGAGGAATTTAACTCTGTCTAAATTGTGGTGATGTGTTGGACACTCCTAGATTGGTAAGGACAAAAGAGGGATTTGCATCAGCTGTAACAAACTTGCATTGTTGCATATGTTGCAAGAGTGGGAAGCATTGAGGTTAGTTAGAGGCTGTGTGGGAATATGAGGGAAGAGGGAGGAAATGAGTTAGGTAGGCAATCATTAGATAGTCGTGTGCCCCAGGGCAGAGGAGGATACATTCTCTGATATTTTCTTTCTTTTTCTACATTTTTCCTGCATTTTCATACTGTAATCCTAATCAGAACTCAGTTCTCTGAATTTTATTAAAATTCCTATGGGGAACTTCAGTTCCTATCCTAACACATGTTCAACTTGAAACACAAACTTTTAAGTTCTCACCAAACTCAAATTTTGGATTCATTCTGTTGGATTGTGATTCCAATTCTGTTGTGCGATATATCAAAATTGTTATGCTAGGAATTTTGCTGTTAAATTCTGACTTACAACAAAGCCTCCACTTGAGATGCTTATTGTATTTTGCCCTTTCTTTTTTGATTTGCTGTTGGACAACCATACCTGAGCTGAGTCAGGATTTAACGGTTATGCTCTTGTTAGTCTTGACATTTGAAGTTAAATGCAAGAACACAAATTCTGTCCTGTACTATCATGGTTTGCTAAAACTTAGTCCAGAGTCCTACATTCTAGTTTCTGGTTATGGTTTGTCGCCCTATATTTTTGCCGTGTATGCTATGATCCAATGCATGATGTGCCAAAAGAATTGTGTTAAGAACCTTGGGAGAACTATATCACAAAAGCTAGCTGTTGTAATTGAAGAGCTCAAGGATTTATAAAACCTCACACTGGAATGCCATACATTCAATGTGGGACTCAAGCCCTGTACCTTGCAATTGGTCCTTACAATTTTCCACTAAAATCTGTTTCCTTGTGTCTACAAATAGTATCAAGGATCTGTTTTTGAATGTCATTTCTGTCAAATATGTGGTTCCATTCAACACTTCTTGAAGCTGAGGTCTTAATCAAGTACCAATGTCTATCTTTTGGGCTTTGAGTTTATGATTCTAAGATATGGTATTGATAGATATTTCTGTTTTATCTTAAAATATTATGGGCAATCCGATTTTAGATTTTGGGTATGTTAGACAGTGACAGAGAGACTTGGGAAAGTTAGTTAATAAAAATATATCCTTGATTAGTTCTGTTTGAGAATTTTGAAGGTGGTGGCAGTTTGGAGTTTCAAATAGAGGTAGTTAGAACTTAGAGCCAAAATTTTTCTAGGTTAACTATTGTTGAAATTAACCTGTCTGTACTTTTATATATCAAACAAATGAAGCCAGTTTACTTAGATGGGACCAGTAATGAAGCAAAGTTTAGAAATGTAGACAGCATGTATTATTATGGACTCCGATAAAGTTTACCTTTTAGGCCTTCAATTTTGGATGAGGTATAGTTAATAAAATCAAAATTCAAGAATTTGGGGAGTTTTAATGATTTTTATGTTAATTTTGGATGTTTACTTGAGACGTGACATCTATAATACTGTGGAGGTAGCTCTAGAATTTTGTAATCAAGTGGATGATTGTTCAGGTGATCTAATTTTAGATAAGAACTTTGTCACTTTAAGGTTAACTTATGGTTCCTTAAGTTGGAGGCTGAAATGCTAGGTTAGTTAAATATTTGAGTTGCATGAAGGAAGATGTATTGAAAAAAGGCTAGAGCTGCTATTTTCTATGATATTAAATAACTTAATACCTGAGAGTTTTTTCATTTTGTGCTGAGAAATCTGAATTACTTATAACATTGCATCTTATTTGAAAGGCGTGAGAATCATGGTCATACAGATTATTTTTAGCTATGCTTTATTATTGAAGGCTAAACCAAGTAACTGGTTAGATAAAATCAAATATAAGTTTTTATAAGGAAAAGAGTATATTTAGTGCACCAAGAGATTGAAAGACACCCACCATTTTAAGTCCGCTGCGCAACTCCAATTCCAGATACAGTAAAATGGTGTGCTCAACCTCCCATATATATCAGTTTCATGATAATGTAGGAAAGTTGCTGGTTTAATTATAATTTTCTTCTAATGATACTGACCAAAACTTGCTACATTTTCTAGTAACACCACCTTACATTATATTGCTGTGATTTTTCCAAAAATTTATTTTCTCTCATTGTGCAGACGTAGGCTTGCAACGGTATTGGTGCGACTAAAATTTGCTGAGCACTTGAAAGAAGGTGTCACTTACATAGAGCAGGGTCATATACGAGTTGGTCCAGAGACAGTTACAGATCCAGCTTTCCTTGTAACTAGGAATATGGAAGACTTTGTTACATGGGTGGATTCCTCCAAGATAAAAAGAAAGGTGCTTCAGTACAATGACAAATTGGATGACTATGATTTAATGAATTAAGTGGTAAGCTCATTGTTGGCTTATTGTGGTTTTACTATGTGAATTGTGGATGAGGTTTTCTTTTGGCGGGTAGTTCAGGCAGGCTTGGATTTTAACATATATTTTTTTTAATTTTATTTTAAACACATCTGATTCAGGTGATGGTGTAATTAACCTGGAAAATAGTGAACCGAGATTAATTATTGGATCTGTTTCAGCTTGAAATTTAAGTGAATGATAGGCCATTTAGGCTGATTAGTGATAGGATAATGTTTTAAAAGGATAGCCTATTTGCAAGGATTTGCCTTTCTGGACTTACAACTGCTTTAAAGTAAATTATAATATTCTAAATTAATTATTGGAAGCAAAAGTAGATCTAAATCATACTATTAAGTATTAACCAGCTTAAAGCCATAAAGCTAAAGATTTTTCAGGTACCAAAATAAGGGGCACTAGTCCTATAAGAAGACATCTAATTTATGATTGTGGGAATGAGTATGTTGTAATTTGAATTTAAATCAAGTTGTATTTTTGTTTACACACTTTCTCATTAAGAAACTCAAATCTGCAAAACTAACAAGCCATTTTAGGGATCTCACATACAAGCTGTTATATAGGACTACATTGAACTTGAAAAGATACAGTACATGGTGGCATACCGTTTGGGGACTTTATAACCAGTTTTTGAAAAGTCCAAATTCCTTTTCTATTGTCTTTTTTCATCGTGTTTGGCATTTCTGAAAGTCTTCTAATCATCGACAAGTTTGAAAGAGTTTGCAAAGTGCAGTTTAAATTAATTTGATTTCGCAAACTTGATTTTGATTGGAACTGAATTTGTAGTAACATGATTTATGTTTAAATACTTTTATTTTAAAAGTAATTTTGATAACTGAATGTTAAGATAATGTAAACCAAAATCACTTTTGATTGTGTAACTATTGAAATTTTATAATATAATACACTTTTATATTATTATCTTATTATATTTGATCCCATAATATGGATGTTAATTTTTAATGCTTTTGGTGCTAGTATTTAATTACAAATAAAAATTACAATAAAATGTGTAAAGTGTATAATATGTGATCAAGCAGGCGAATGGACTATTAGAATGTATAAAGACAACTAAACTTTAGATACAAGGACAAATAAATTTATCCAAATCAAAGTACAAAATACACATTTAAAATATAGATACATTGTTAATTAATTTCATATACTCTATAATTTGATCTCAGATTTAGTCTCAATTAAAATCCATCTGTGCTGAAGACAGAAACGTTAAATTTAGGGATATGAGAATGAATCCTCACCAAAATGATCAACATCCTCAAATTTAATTATATTTTTTTTTTATCTTCACAACGATTGAATTTGAAATCTATTTGAAATTTACTTCTAATAAAATTATATATACTCTCATTGTTGCAATAATTATTTAAAGTGGTGTTTTAATTTTTGACTTATGTTCTGTGGTGTAAATTTGCAAACCAAGTTGATCATATCTTATTCTCTCTATTATTAGTAAAGCCTAACAAATTTGATAGTTGTATCTTTATGCATGTTGTGTGTATGAAAAATATTGTATTGGAAAGAGAACTTATTTTAATAATTTCTAAGTCTTGAAGAGATTAATCTCAAGTTATTGGGTAGAATACTCTTAATATACACTATAAAATCTTTTACTTTTTACTCCTTAAATTTGTGTGATAGTAACAATGTTTTTAAATTTGTATTGGTTATTGAATTGATAGAAATACTTGTTCATCGTTTAAAGATCTACTTGTGCTTAAAGTGCAGTTGAAATAATAATAATAATAATAATAATAATTAAATATTCAAATTTATTACAAATAAAATTAAAATCAACATAAAATATAATAAATAATGAGAAAAACTAAAAAGAGTTAAATTGAAAATTGAAAGATTCGTGCTCGGGCACTCCAAGTCTCCAACCCAAATGTAGATCCACTCAATTGAAAAATAAGTGAATCAATCTAAGCTATTAATTACCTATTAAAAGAAATCAATGGTTGAGATTAAAAAGAATATAAAACTATTTTATTTTGTGATGCTAAATACCTTTTTCACTTTTCACTTCTTGCGGTATTGTTCTACAAGTTATCTCTCATACCATTATCTCTATCATCCCTTAACCATCAAGTACAACACTTTTCTTCCATTGCTAACAATTGAAACTCAATAAATAAAAGTCACTGCAATTCTATTCCCTGCATCTTCTTTATCATATGACGATATTGATGATTGCAAACTACCTGCTTGGAACTCTTTCTTCTTCCACCCACGAAGATGATGTTGCTCTAACTTCGTTTCTTTTACATTTAATGTTGATTCCTTAAAATTGCACTATTATTATTTATTAGTTTTTTTTTTACTTGTTTTACTTTATTAGGATGCATAATATGGTTGAACCTGTCCACCATCCATGGTTGAAAGAGTACAATGCTTCAAAAGCCTCGTACTCAGGTGATGAATTTGAGTGCCAACCTATGATAAGCAAAATGTTCAATGCTTTAAAAGAAGTATAGAAATTTTGAATTGATTATGGTGAGAAGATTGGATTTAATGTTCACGACCGATATTTTAACAAAAGCAAAGATGCAAAGATTTTGATTGCTAGATATATTTGTAATAAAGAGGATATATGCAAACTAAACAAAAGGGATAATTTAAATTTTAATTCTTGACTCCAAACAAGAACTAAATGCCTTGCAAGATTAAGAATTTAATACATGAAAGAGATTGAAAAGTATCAAATTCATGAATTTGTTGCAGAGCGTAGCCATTAATTGCACCTTCGAAAGGCGACTCACATGCTAACATCTTAGTGAAAATTAACTGAAGTTCAAGATCATATATTTATTTAATGATTCTAACATTAAGCAAAAGGCCACATTTGAATCGATGAGTAGGCAAGCTGGTGGAAGAGCAAACCTTTGTTATACACATGTCGATAAAAAAAATTATCTTCATAGTAAAAGATCGAGAAAAACGACGTATGGGGAAGCAGTTCAATTACATGTGAAAGAACGAATAATAAATATTTTTTAGGCTGATGCAAGAATAGTAATAGATTGTGAGTACTTTGGTGATGTGGTCATTCTTGACACTACATATAGTACTAATAATTCAAGTCAACCTTTGGCTATGTTTGTAGGATTTAATCACTTTTAAAGGAGTCGTAGTTTTTGGAGCTGCACATCTTTATAATAAGACTACAAAATCTTTTGAATAGTTCTTTTAGAGAAATTTTGAAGGCACATAAAAGTAAGAAGTTGCAAACTCTTTTTATAGATAAGGCCATGCAATGGCTAAAGCTTTGTGTGAGATAATGCCTGAAATATACCATGGTTTATGTTCTTGGCATATGATATGCAAAATGGTATAAAACATCTCGATGAGTTGATGAAGAATGAATCTACTTTTTTGAGAGAATCTTTAAGTTTTGCAGGTACAAATACTTAGATAGAGTTGATTTTCAAATAGCAAGAAAAAAAATTGGTGAATGATTATGAACATAAAGAAAGTAGACAAAGGATTTGTATAAAGTAAAGGAGAAATGAGCAATGTGTTTCATAAAAACTGCTTTTACCACATGCGAAGTAAATAACTTAGTGAAAGTTTGAATGTATATTTGAAGCTTGCTTGAAACTAGACTTTGATGTTATTTGGTTTTCCAAACATTTTAATAGAGTGGTTTATGATAAGAGATATAATGAGCTTCAATGTAAATTTGATTCTTGGCAAAAATTATCGAGATTGTAGATGGGACATTCCCCTTTGTTTCAACAAATTGCACAAATAAAAAGAAAAAAATTCAACCAATAGAACTTCATTCATAACACTGATCAAGATTACAAACGTCATACACAATTTTGCATTCATGAACACAATTACAAATCTAAAAGAACTCCAAATATTTTTACATTATAAATATCTTCCTTTAATGTATGACCAAAAAAAAATTCTAGTCTTGTATACTTCTAGTCGATTTCTTTACTCTAATTAGAAAGCCTTTCTTGCATTTGTAGGATACGTTGAGAGTCAACAATGAACACATTATATCCATTATCATACTCACAAATTAAAACTAATTAATTATAATAATTAAAATAAATTAAATATTATTAAATATCATAACAATGAAAATAGTTACTCATCAAAAAGTAAATATAATTTAATATTTAAATCTTTAGATAACTATTAGATTTTTATATTTAATAATTTTATATATATATATTATTTGTTTCAAAATTTAATTATTTTCTTCACATTCAAACATTCTTTATATACTTTTAAAATTTTATGAATATAAAGTCTAAACTTTCATAATTACAGAATGACTTACAATATGAGAAAGATAAATGTTAGTGTTTAAAATGTTATAAAAATATTTTTTATATTAATATATCAACTTATATTTATTTATTAGCAATCCATACTCTAACTATATGATTATTCAAAAATTTTAGATTGAAAAAGAAGTTTCAATATTTTTTGAAAATTTTTCTAAGAGCATTTAATTACAAATGCAAAGAACAGTGCTTTCTAATAAAAAAATTTAGTCATTTTGTAGATTTACAATTAGTTTTCAGGATATAAATCAAAATATAGGTATTATACATAAAAAATTAAATCAATATAAATTTTTTTTATTAATATAATTATTTATTAAGTTATATTCTTAAAGTTATACAATTTTTAATTTAAAATAATATTTAAATCAGGTTCACTAATTATTGACTCTTTCTTTGTTATGTAGAACCAAGTAACATATCAAATATTAGAGCACAAGAGATAGACATGAAGACGTCACACAAAAAATACATCTCAAATATACCCATAGATGTACATCAAAATAGTTAGAATGCATTTATTTTTTTTTTATAACGGTATAATATTTTAATGTGTTTATACTAAAGTTATATTTATATATTTTTAAAAATAATTATAGACCTAATAACATATTTTTTTTACTTATTTTTAATTTAATCTACATATTCATTTTCATCTAGCATTTTAAATTTATTTTATAAATTTTATTAAATTAATATTTTTAATTTTAATAAATTTTAAAAAATATTATTATATTATTAACAAACCATATTAATTATTTTAAAATTTGAAATAAATGCATACAAAATTAATAAATTTATTATTTTAATTTTATGACCACTCAACATAACTTTGTTATACTTAATTAGTTATTTAATAAAATTAATTTTTTTATAATACTAATTCTATTAAGTTATCAAACAATATAGAATAATTTAATTACCTTAAAAATACTCAATTATATATTTTTTATTTTTTATTTTTATTAACAACTAAACTTCTAAAT